CCAGCGACTTAACACTGCTTTTGTGCTCCAGGGACACATATTTGTTCTTGTTTTAAGCATAACCTCAACTTTGTTCAATGTTTCAAGACGTCATTTTACATTTGCATCTAAAATAAATGTATGCTGATTTAGGCATGTTTAGATATTTGTATTGGAAAACAAAAATACTGAGAAAGATTTTTTTTTTTTTTTGCAGTGCATGAAAGCTTTAATGCCTTGACTTTCTGCTCTGACTTTTTCAAACCTTAAATTGTGAAAAGGGCACATCAAGACTTTTTAAAGGTCTTTCATAGACCTGAAGAAACGCTGAATATTTACACTGCTCTAGAGCAGGTCATGTTCACAGAATACCTTACATAACCTCAAAGTTCTGTTTCATCTGCAACATCTCCAGCATCTGACCTTGTGATTTAACTGAGTCGCTCCTTGCAAAGAGGCACCCGTGTATCTCGAACAAAACTCAAACAGACCTGGAAAGACGGGACTGGGAACACAAAAAAGGGACCAACGCTTAGAAAAACATTTAAAATGCAGAACTACATCTCAAACCAAAAAGATCTGCTACTTGCTTTCATTAGCATTCATGAAAACATCACTTAAAATCTCCTGCCAATATTTGAATGATTTTGATCAATATAAGGAAACTGACCAGTCGTCTCCGACGTTGAAGGCGTTGAGGCTCTTGGTGAAGCCCTGCATGTTGTTCGGACTGACCTTCTGCAGGAAGTCGATGTAATCCTCCGAGTGGAAGCGGCACATGTCGTGCTGGGACGCCTTGTACGGCTTGAAAACCTGCAAAGAGAGCTCTGCTCATCAGGACCTGGGGTCAGTGAAGTGACTGGACTAACAGACCGAGCATACCATCATCTTCTTGTAGAGCCCATAATGCAGCACAAGACTGTGTGTGAGAGACAGCCGGTGAGGTTTCATCGGGTGTCCAGCACCTGCAGGAAAACATCTAATCAAATAAATGTTCTGTCCCCAAATATCACACTGATACCTGATGGTGCTGCCTAGCTGTGGTGGTCTGGTCTATTAGGATTTATCAAACAAAATTATGAACGGCATCTTACATGAGGTGCCTCTTTACAAACAATGTGACCCCGGAGCACAAAACCAGTTATAAGGGTCCATTTTCGAAATTGAGATGAACAAATAGCTTTCCATTGATGTATGGTTTGTTAGGATCGGACGACATTAGAAAATCTGGAATCTGAGGGTGCAAAAAAATCTAAATATTGAGAAAATCATCTTTAAAGTTGTCCAAATGAAGTTCTTAGCAATGCATATTACTAATCAAAAATTAAGTTTTGATATATTTACAGTAGGAAATGTACAAAATATCTTCATGGAACATGATCTTTACTTAATATCCTAATGATTTTTGGCATAAAAGAGAAATGTATAATTGTGACCCATACAATGTATTGTTGGCTATTGCTACAAACATCCCCCAGCGACTTAACACTGCTTTTGTGCTGCAGGGACACATATATTCAGTTTTCTACTAGACACAACAGTATACTATGTACTAAGCATTGCACATCTTAACTTTAAAGTAAAAAAAAAAAAAAACAATCGTTCAAGGCTATATATAACCTTACACTGTAACAGTAACCTGTTGAATTCTATATTCTCTCCAATAGCAACAAAATGAACCCAAACCACATTTTTATTTAAAATGATAATAATAAAAAAATAAATAAAAAGCATTTCCGAAAATGTTGTCACGTTGTAGTGACAGCGCCGGGGTAAGGTAGCTTTGAACGAGTCTGTCTCAGCAGCCGGTCATTTATACACTGGCCGCGCAGATGTGCTGATGAGAATGATGATCTCTGCTGTACAGCGCCCAGGTGTGCTGACTATAATGATGATCTCTGCTGTACAGTGCACAGCAGATGTGCTCGTGAGAATGATGATCTCTGCTGTACAGTGCGCAGATGTGCTGATGAGAATGATGATCTCTGCTGTACAGTGCGCAGATGTGCTGATCAGAATGATGATCTCTGCTGTACAGTGCGCAGATGTGCTGATGAGAATGATGATCTCTGCTGTACAGTGCACAGATGTGCTGATGAGAATGATGATCTCTGCTGTACAGTGCGCAGATGTGCTGAGAATGATGATCTCTGCTGTACAGTGCACAGATGTGCTGATGAGAAAGATGATCTCTGCTGTACAGTGCGCAGATGTGCTGATGAGAATGATGATCTCTGCTGTACAGTGCACAGATGTGCTGATGAGAATGATGATCTCTGCTGTACAGTGCACAGATGTGCTCGTGAGAATGATGATCTCTGCTGTACAGTGCACAGATGTGCTCGTGAGAATGATGATCTCTGCTGTACAGTGCACAGATGTGCTCGTGAGAATGATGATCTCTGCTGTACAGTGCACAGATGTGCTCGTGAGAATGATGATCTCTGCTGTACAGTGCACAGATGTGCTGATGAGAATGATCTCTGCTGTACAGTGCACAGATGT